GCATAAGAAACATGCAAATTGAACCAGATGAATGGGAAGCAAAACATCTTCAAAATTAGTCCAGTGGATTGTTTTTTGTTTTTTTTTTGGAATTTTCTTACTCCAGAATGACAGTTAATAATAATGAGAGCATTTTTGATTTTGGTTAAGTGAACAAAAATGCTTGGGATATTTAAAATTAGTTCAAAGTTACTAAAAACATTCAAGCTTTAAAACAAACAAATATTTAACTTTTGAATAAAGCTCTGATTTGCGGACTAGAGGAGAGGAGTTGAATAGATAGAAAGCTGCTGCTTGTCTGCCAGCCAGCAGAGTTAAAGAAACCTTTCTCTGAGATTTACTACTCCCACAGCAGATTAGGGAAATGGCCCAACAGTCGCAGACCTTCGCTGTGTGTGCTGAAGGCAACCGAAGCCGTTTTCTGTAGAGAATGTGGCTGACACGCAGCAGACCTGGGATTCTTATCACGAGCACACACTAACACTGGGCATCAGTCACCTCACAGTTGGGTAACAGGTGGTGGCGGCCATTTTGGATCAGACTGTGAAAAGCCTGTGATGTTCTTAGAGATGGAAGCTTTTTTACTGCTGCATTGTGAGAAACACCAGGTCCAACTACAGTTCACCGAGTTTATGAGAAAACACTTTTAGCACATTAAATACAGCTAATCTGCTCAATCAAATGGAAAGAATGAAAGATAAGAATGATTTCTTTGTATGTTTCACATCAAAACAAAAACCCTACATTCAAAAAATTTAAAATTTAATTGTAATTAATCAGTTAGGAGGATAAAATGAGCTGCTAGCTTCAGGCTATATAGTGTGAAGCAGAGTGACTTGAAAATGGTTGAGGATGTTGAGTAATATCTCGGTGGCATCTGAGGACAGAAATAGCTGATAAAATCATTTTATAGTACAGCATGATCCTGTTCTTGCAGGCGCTGCGATGTTAATGACTGTGGTCTTTAGAACCCTGAAACCAAAGCAGAACGGAAGGGGAAGCTCGTCTCAGTAGTGGGCCACAACTTGATAGGACACTGGTTCCTGATCAGATCGGAGCGCGGTTCCAGCGCAGTCATGGCAACACAACTGAGAGGCAGGCAGAACAATTTCTGGGGTCACATACGCCTGATTAATGAAATATCAGAATAAAATGCCTTCTCTGAAACTTTTTCCAATATCCTTTTATGATCCAAGCCCAACTGACTGTCCAAAAAGAAACGTGTTTTGCTCTTTTTAAACATTTCTAAGTCAAGGACTTCTTTCTTTTTTTTGTCCACTTTCATCAATTGAAAGAAAAAAAGATGCATTTAAAATACAATTTTTGGTTGATTTATCATATTCAGCCTGAAACAGATAAAAAAAGCAGAAGGTCATAAAATCTTTCACCATGAAATTAATTTAATGACTGTGATTAACAACCATCTTCGCCATCCTATTATATTCTCATGTTGTCTTTTCTCCACAAACTGGATCTTATTTCTAATTTATCCCCAGCAGAGCTGTTCTCTATCACAGATTTCTTTGCAGCTATTAGTGAAAAAATAAAAAAAGGAGAGCTGACCAGCCTTCATGCAAAAATATCTGCTGTGAAACTGGGTGCTTTGGTTCAAACAGATCATTGAATTCAGACAAATGCGCCTTTCTACTGTATGTCCCTGAAGAGTTATGTTAAAGTCTAGAAACAAGTTAAAACAAGGGGAAGCCAGTGCCTCAAAGGCATCATTTTAGGACAGCAGATCGATGAAGTGTGGTGTAAAGTGGTCCTACTAGGAGAGATCTGTCATCATGGATCAACTGGGGGACAGTTGTTGTTCAGACCAGACACCTCTACAGTTCTGCACAACAGTGCATTTTGGTTTGATTTGTTACTGTGCCACATGGTGGGTTGGTATGGGTCTGAACGCAGCCAGGCAGAGATGGGAATCTATAAGTGACTGTTATGATCTTTAGACGTCTGCTGAAGCTCCAGGCTTTGGTTCATTCTGTCGTGTTCCTATTATGGGATTGGCTAGAATACACTGTACTCATGGTTTGTTTTACTTGTCCTAGCGTAACTGCTGAGCCCAGGTAAGTGCCAGGCTCTGATAAATGAGGCTTCAGCTGTGTTAGTTTACCTGCAGCAGGGCAGCACACAGGTAGCAGATGGTGAAGGGTAGAGTGACAGGAGCCTCCTCTCCCTGCAGCAGAGAGATGGCGTAGAGGAAGACGAGATGCCCGGGTATGACCAGCATCAGTAGAACCCGCGCCGACTTAGAGTTTACCCCTGGGATATAAAGAGATAAAGCTTCTCTCAAGTTACTCTGTTTAACAACAAAAACATTTCCTCACTTAATTATTGGTAGAATAGCAGCACTTATGAATGCACTATTAGATAGAGATGTCCTGATCCAATATAAATATGGGCTGTCGCTCTGATTTTAGCCAAAACAATAATGTCGGATTAAATCGGCCGGTGTTCTGTCAGGTGAGCATAACCCTTCAGACCAGCATACCTATTGTCAATACACATGCGCAAGAGTTGCATTTATCCCTTTAGTATGAAAAATAGACTTTAAACTATCTAAACGGGCGTGTATCCCTTAAGTCATGTACAAAAAAACCAAACAATTTAAGTTGAGTTTTCCATATGCTCCAATAAACACCAAAAAGTAAGTAATAAAATATATTTTTTTGTACATGACTAAATGGAAACATGCCCATTTAGGTAGTTTAAAATCTATTTTTCATACAAAACTAAAGGGATAAACGGGTATTGACTATGGGTATGCTGGTCTGGCCGGTTATGCTCATATGACAGAATACCAGCATCTACAATCTCCGATAGTGGCAGAGAAACACTGCTTCTGTTTAAAGTTTCTGTATCTCATTGGTTAATATTACATGGGTCAGTTGTTCTCATACTATTGTTTTTCATTCTAACAATTTCACTTGATTAGGCCTTTTCATACATTCAGCTGTACAAAATAAGCAATAAATGTATGCATGATTGTGGAAATATCGTATCAGGTCAATATCAGTATCGGTCAATTCTCCAAGCTGTGATATCAGCACATCGGAAATGAAAAAGCTGTTTTGGGACAACTCTACTATAGGAACTTCATGTTGCCTAATTAGACAGAAATGGAAAAGTTAGCCTACCTGATGAGAAGAAGGTGCTGCATGGATTGGGCCAGTGCTGGCTCATTTTACTGGGAAGCACACCTGGGATGCTCCAGAAGTGCAGGTATGTAGAGATCCTGCTGGCCTGAATGGCCACCAGGTTTCCACCCACTCCTGCACATGGGAGGCAAAGAGGGGATGCTCCTTTAGCCCCAGATGTATCACAGAGTAAACATCCAAATCAGATTTATAACAACGACCAAAGTTTCTGAGCTGACCGAGTTTTTCTGGTATTATTCAACAATAAATCATTATTTTTGATAGAAAGACATAAAAAAAAGTGATGTAAAAAAATAAAAATATGTTTTTAGATGAAAAATAAAGTGACATCAAACACCATCTCTCTGTGTTGTCTTATAGTCTCCTGTTTACAAGCCATGTGGGCAACATAGGCATAGACATCCATGTTAGCAGCTGCCCATCATGGCTAACACCTGGTTCACACAACAAGCGATCAACTGTAAAGAGGTAGGAGAAAAAAGAAATGGTGCGAAAAAAAACAAACAAAAAAAACGCATTTATATGGAAGTTCAGCTCTTTACAGTACAGATATTTTTATATCTGAAGGAAACATATTTCATGACAGTATAACTTTTCTTATGTTTTTTTGTACTATATACACTCTTTTTATATTGTCTGTTGTATTTTAATCCTTAATGGCTTCCAATCAAATATCAGTGGACTTCAACATGTTGGGTGGTCTTTGCCCAATATGTGGCAGTGTGTGATGTGACATCGAGCCAAGCACGTTTAAATCAGATGGTGAGGTTTGAAATTCGGAATTTTGTCAGCTTGAAGCTGCGCATCAATAAATCTGAGAATGTGATTAGGAGATGCTGCATCCAGGCCATGATCTATCCTCCAAGATGAAAGATGAAAAAGGAGCATGAATGTATAGAACGCGCTTACATAAAAACCCATGTTTTTTTTTTGTATACAAAGAAAAGTGAGATTTCTCTGATTGCTCCACTAAAACAGTTTAGAAATATATTAACTTTAAAGAAAATAACTTAGTACAGGATCAAAATAGCTGAGAGCTTCAGGATTATAAGCTTGCTAACAACGTTTTAAAGTTATAAGCTACTTAGTTCCTCAATATACAAAATTTATTTGTGCTCCAGACAAGACATAGGAGTCTTGCACAATCACTTTGCTGTTATCCAAACTCAGTTGTTCACTAAATGATCCCATTTTCTGATACTTAGAAGATATTTTCCATTTCAGCAGGCTGCATCATGATACGTTGTGCAACTCTGCAATTATGAGAAACTATTAGTCACTACACCTGCAGCTGGAGTTGGCTGATCCAGGAGAAACTGGTTTCATTTGTTGACAATTAGTCAGAAGAAAGAACAATCAGAGATCAAGTTACTATTGAAATAACATCTGGAACAGAAAATGAATAAAAAAGCCAGAATAAAGTTAAGAAATTTGCTGCTTTAAACTCCTCTAATGTTTAGACCTGCATTCATTTCTCTCCATTGTAGCACCTTGGCTTTGCTATTACATAGAATGTAAAAAGTTTGATGTATTGATTGACTTTATTGATCTCACAGTGGAGAAATTTACAAATTACAACAGCAAAAAGAGTCAATAACAAGAAGAATGTGCCAGAAGGAATAAAAAGGGCAAAGGGTATATACAGTAATGTATATGACAGATTAAGTCTCTTATTTAGAAGGATTTGGTCTTAATTCTTTTTATGTTACATTTGTATTTTAATGCGTAGCATGAAAGAGCGTGCGATGACAAATATGATTTGCTGTCTGATTATTATCTTATAATATGTTGCACCTCTTGCCTCCCTAAATAGTTTTCATTTTTCATAGTTAGTTGTATAACAGTACAACCGCGGTATTTACAGCTCTTGTGTTTCATTTAACTGCTTTGCTTTTACTGTTCCCTTCATTCTGCTGTTTAGCGCTCAGTCAGGTCCACCGTCTCTGAACTGGTAAAGTCTCTCTTCTTCGTCTTCAAACCCATTTCTGCGAATGAACAAGTGTAGGAGTTCCCCTTTCATGGCATTATCGGGGCGGTAATCATGCAGATTTACATTTCTCTGAATCACATGCTCTCAGGTCTGCATCAGGTTTTTGAGGATGATTTACTGAAGTTAAGAAGGTTTGTTGGATCTGATGCAGCGTGTTCATAAGAGCCCACCGAAGGAGGAAACGCTGTTGCATCAGGCCCAGTGTTTCCTTATTTCTGGTTGTCTGTCATGGAGCTGGCTCGATTTGGAAATGTTAGGGCTTTTTTGAAAAGCTCACACTTCCAAACAGAAACCCCACATTCATATCTTCAGGTAACACAGAGTACATGTCAGACTTAATACTACTTTAGCGATAGTTTCAAGGTGTTGCTTTATTGTATGTCTCGTACCATGTCTTTCGGTTGTGCTGTTCTTTTTTCATCTCGTTACAGGTGATGAAGCAGACTGAAAATGTTTTGTCATTGTCTCCTTTCTATCTCCTCTTTCTTTCTCTTTTTTTCTATTTTTTCCTTTTTCTTCTTCAGTTTTTCTGCACTATTTACATTGCAGTGTCCATATAAACTGTACAACTCCCTGCATAATTATAATAAAGCAATTTATATGCATGAAACAAGTGGAGCAATATGGCAATAGCCCTACTGCTCCACTTGTGAAAGTATAATCTGTTGGGCTCTTTTTGGCATCAAGAGGTGAACTAACTATAAAATTAAACATACACATTGCTAACTGTTAATATTAGAAGCTAAGACACTTTAAAATATGGACCTCTGAAGTGAACGAGCTGTGTAGCTAATCTGGAGCTACTATAAATAATTACAAACAATGATTAATTAATACATACTGATCACAATAGAACAGCTTAAATCTTTTTTCAATTAGTCAATTAATAATGGGATAGCCAGAAAGCTGTATGGTTACACTTAAGCAATCATTTAGACTTAGACAGATTTTATTTTGTCATTTTGTGCACACAAGTGTATACAAAATGAAATTTTGTTAATTACAGCTCTCCAGACAGTGGTGAAATAAAAAGTGATGTAAACATATGACTGTAATAGTTACAGTTCCAACATTTAAGATTATTTTTTTTTTCTTTTATAACCCATTTTACATAACATTCAGCAGTCTAATGGTGGTGGGAAAGAAACTGTTCAGGAATCTGCTGGACCTGCATCGGATGCTTCGAAGCTTCTTCCCAGAGAGCAGCAGAGAGAACAGTCCATGGTGGGGGTGTGAGGGGTCATTTATGATGCTACGGGCTTAATTTATCATAAACTCTAACTTAGGACATTAATCTGAGCTTTTAACTGTGTTATTTATTTAGATTTTTAGCTGTGCAAAAAAAAAAAAAAAAACAGTTTCCTTATTAACTAAAAGAGACGTGCTGTGATTCTTTTTGGCAGAGGTACAAAACCTGAAAGATTATTGTCTAAATGTGGGTTCTTTGTTCTAGCTTTTATTTAGTTATTGATTTATTTATTTATTTATTTTTTATAAATCTGTGATCAATTGGCCACAAAATCTCTGGTTTATGCATCTCTAAATGTTTCATGTGAGTTAGATTTCAGCTAAACAAACGACTTTGGAGAATGTTAAAAGGTGATCTTAATATTCAAGTCAGAAACAGGAAACCTTTTTATCCTGACCCAGATCCGTCTGAGAAACGGCTTCAGCCTGAGGAACAGCTCCGTCCGGGTCTGTGCACCGTTACCTCAGACAAACCTGAGGGCTGCAGCACGTATGGAAATGAAAAAAAAAATAAATGATTGCTCGTCAAACTCTGCCACCTTTATAAATCCATCTGAGCTGCATAAAAATAAACTTGTTTTAGTTTCCACAGGTGGTTTCAGTAGTTTTAGTCATTTAATCTAACCTGGGTTTGGGTTTCTTTAAGATCTTCACTGTCTTATTTTCAGCGGTCACATTCATTTTGTTGTTGACAAGTGCTTAACACATTGATGTCACACATGTCAAAAGATCTCCACCTCTTAACGATGACAGATGGTTTTTAGTGAGATGGAAAAACGGGTTTTATGAGCACATCAGAGCAGAGAGAGATGGGAAATTCAAACCAGATTGGAGAAGTTGGAATTCAGCAGAGAGACGCAGCTCAGAGGAAAGAACGAGAAGCAGAGTGGAAACTGAATGAGACACAGTGGCAGCCTGAGTGGATGGTTATTAAAGGCCCTGTCAGCTGCGCCGGGACTCGGGCTGAGCGCCATTAGTGGTTCTCTTCATGCCTCACCTCACAGCCAAACCACCCCATCTTAGAAGTCTTTTTTTTTTTTCTTTAAGTTTGCCTCCACTTGTCCTTCAATGCATTTTCCAAACTGAACACAGAGCCTTACAAAAGTACCCAATGACTTTTTTTACTCTTTCATATTTTGTCATTTACAATCCCAAACTTCAATATTCACTACTGGGATTTTATGAGACAGGCCAAAACAGAAATGTAGAAAATTGATCAAGAATGGCAGAAAGAGCATGTTTACCTGTCAAAAACTAACTTCAGCCCCCTTTACTCTAATATCCCTAAATTGAATCCAGAGCAGCCAGAATAAAAGAACTGAAAATGTCATGTGGTCCCATTCAGTTCAGCCCAGCAGCTTAAAGAGATTTTATGGTGCTTCTGGTTATATTTAATGAGTCACAAGAATAGGGACAATGGACCATTTTCCCTTTGCACAACTAACTTTATCTCATCTAAAGGATGATAAACCACATGTAGTAAAGTTCTATCTGTCCGTCTGTTTGTGAATAAAACAACATGTATATTCCTGTTTAGACAAGTCAGAAGTTTTCTAATGTTTCTGTTTTTTTTTTAGTTTCAGATGCTGCTCTGCTGAATTTGTTGGCTTTTTGAGGCTGTTAGGTTGTTCTGTGTCTCTGAAAAGGTTCGTACAATTGTCCTTTAGAAAAGGTGAGAAAAAAATTTTGAAGTAATAGAAGTTTCTCTGCATCATCTCACAGCTGCTGCTATTCTAAATGCTCAAGTATCTCTAATTATTGTTTTTCAGGGGAAACTAACAAACCGTGCTTTAGTTCCATCAGTTCTCAGTAATATGCTTTGATTTTAAAGCCAAGTGATTTCCAAACCATTAAAGATTATTTTATTGAGATATTTTACCAACCAGACAAAAGGTGGTTTTAGTTCGTTCTACTTTGCAATTTAAATAAAGATGGGATAAAAAAGAGGAAATACTCAAGTTGGGGCAACGTTGCGGGTTGAATCTGTTCAAAGCTGTGGTTGTGTTTGTTCCCTCAGGACTGTTTGAGACTCAAATGTCTTTTTATCCAATTTAGAGGATAATTTCAGGTTTAAGCTTGTTTCACTTCAGTGACAGTTCTCTAAAGCCGCTCAGTATCAAAAGGAACAATTATTTAAAAAAAAAAAGTGGATCCACCCTTTAAATCCAAAAGGCATTTAGAGGACAAAAAAAAAAGAGAAAGTAGAAAATAGTTACACCCCTTAAGCTTTTTTTGAAATCACGCTATAAATCACAAGCTACAAAGTATTTTGAGGGTTTTATACGAAGGAGTATTTTGTATTTTGGTCGGTAAAAAGGATCACATAAAAGAACATTATCTGAATGAGGAACCCACTCACCACAGTATTTATACCAACATGAAAAAAATAGACATTTTGCATTCACAAAGAAAAAAAAACCTTTATTGTCTGTCGATATGATTTATCCAGAAGTCCCCAAGTGGGAGTTTTAGCTTCATCTGCTTAAGATTCTGTATAAAATCTTCTTCAAGGAACCTTTTGCTGCCTGATTATTAGTTAAAAATAAAGAATTTCAGATGAATCTATTACCAAAATAATCAAGAACTGAAGTCCGGATAGTATCGCTTCTTCTTCTAAGTTCACCTCAACACTTTTTAAAACAGGACTGACTTCCTGTTATAGCAGAATTAAAATAAATCAAAATTTAACCTAAAGATGAGAAAACAAAAGAGTGGCGTCAGAAGGAAGGACAAATCAGCTTACCGTTAATAACAGGTGTGAAGACAGCCATGCCCTCAAAGTTGGGGTCACTCACAGTCCTGTCCAGTATAAGGCCTCCGAAACTTAAATAAAAACAGAACAATGTTAAATTACTCTGTAACTGCTGTTTCATCTTAAAATGCAGAGACTTCCAAAAAACCTCTTTTGTTTATTCACAAACGCCATTTTTTCAATGTCAATATAAAAGAATAGGAAACTCAATCCAAACGTTTTTTTCGCTGTCATTTTATTTTCTCCCATCTCTTTTGTTCAAAGTACATTAGCTTCCTTTGAGCAGCTGAGAATTATTGATCTAAAATCAATACTTTTTAAAAGATACACTTTATAGCATCTTTGTGCATTATAGAGTAAATCATTTAAGGTTCGACTGGTCTATAGATACTCGATTTAAGGTAATCCTGATGTTAGAACTGCATTAAATAAAAAGGTTGATCACTGATCCGGTGCTGGACTGAAAACAAATGACAAAGTGGCCAAAGTAACTACTCAGAGCTCATGATGATTATTCACCAGAAGCCCTGCCTCACTGGAGGATCATCATGTATAAACATTTGTACAGTATTGTATAATCTCTTTTCCATGTCTGAAATGAATTAAGTAAACAGAAGTGTGTACCTGCTAATGGACATGGCGACTATGACAGGCTGCCAGCCTGAGCGGAGAACCTCTCTGATCTGTGGACTCCGTCGGGCTAACACCACCCACAGTGGAATCAAAGCCAGGAAAACCAGGCACACCGAGGGGGACAGGTACCAGATGTCTGCAGGAGAGAAAATCATAAGATATGTAAAATAAATCATGTGTAGAGAAGAAGTTTACAGCATCTTTGGGTCATGCAGGGCTTCTACAGGAATGAGGAACTCTAATTTAATGCTTTTTAATATAATTTTAATGCCATCAACAAGTACCCATGCTGTTGTGTATATATATATATATATATATATATACACAGCAAAATCCTTTGTCATCTTTAGCGTCAACAGGCTGCAGCCATTTCCTGAATTCCTCATTTTCCAGCCACCTTTGTTGAAATTTGCATTTTCACATACTTTTTCTCCGCCTCAAGCTTCTTTGGCTTTAAGATCAACCTGAAGCAGTTCTGCGCAAATATATCGCGATATATCTGAGAAAATTGTTTTTATAATTTTTTTTTTTTTTAATAAAGCATTTTAAATGCCACGATCATCACATTTAACGAATTTTAATGCCAATTAAGGCCTTAATTTAAAAAATAATTTAATGACTTTTAATGATTTTTAATGAAATGCATTTCAGCTTTATTCTTGCATGGTGATAGGAGCAGTACTAAAATGTCAAATATAGTGAGGTATAGTTTGTCCTTTCAATTACTTTTGAATTGGCAAACAGCTTCTTTAGCAATTTAGAAAGTCCATCATTGTCTGATGAAAAGCAATCAATTCAGCAGTAATCCCCAAAATACAACAGTTAAGCGGCATCAATATTTAAGAATAATGCAATATTTTAACCGTCCTATTAGCAGCAATCTTTAAAATATACTGATCTAAATGCTTGGCATATAATCCCCCAGGCGTAATAAATTTATATAACATAATGGTTGTATAAAACACTCAAACTGTAAGTAAGGCTAAGAGGAATTAAGAAAACAGAAGTTGTTTGTGGATTTGTCTAAAATAAAAGCTGATTTCTGCTGCCATCTTGTGGTGAGTTCTGGAATAAGCCAGATCTAGCAGTTAAACAGGAAGTACCTCTTAATTGGTGCTTCCTCCATGCTGTGCTTCTCACCTCTGTACTCGTAGAGCGTGCTGCTGACCCCCGCCAGCAGGGACAGCGTGATGAGGTCACCCAGGCTGGCAGCAATGGGTGTGGCCACGTTGTCTGGGTTGATTCCCACTTTCCTGGAGCCGATGATAACTCCGATCATCACCAAGCCTATGGAGGGGTAGGCAGATGGAGAAAATGAAAAAAAGCCCCAAACTTTCTGATAAGGTGAAGGTCAAGCAGAGAAAAATGAAAATGTTTCCAGGTTAACAAAACAACTAAATTCTAAAGATATATGTAAAGCCAGTGTCTCTAGCTTTACATCAGAGGGACTGTTTGCTGAGGCGGAAATAGAGCACTTCTAGAACAATGAAAGACATGACAGCAACTGCTCTGAATCATACATGACAATTAGAGGGAGGCTACAATGAAAAATATCCCTTTAAAATAAATTAAACATTTTAAAATACTTCTTTAAGCCTGTTTGCAGATTGCTGATATCCAGATAGAAATCAAGGTAAACTTCCACCAGCCGCTGTGAAAGCTAAAGGGATTACTCCTTCTAGAAATATAGGATAACCTTGAATTGCTTCTGAGTCACCGTAGATTCTGCTGATCTTATGAAACATTTGTATTTTACTTGGAGAGGGTTAGAGTTAGAGAATATTATAAATAAAAATTACGTAGAATTAAATAAAATTGTAAAAGAAGAAGCTTTTTCTCTATCTAGGTTACAATATTTAATGGGCATCTGTAGCCTTTACTCCAGGATGTTCATCAAAGTGTTCTTATTGCTTTAGTTTTAACAAATATAACTTTTCAGCCCCTCCGTCACATACCCAATGAGAGAGCAGCTACGAAGGCGGTGGTAATGCTGCTTGCACACAGGACAGCTGCCTGGTCCAGTTCAACCCCTCCCCTGGAGATTGCACCTAAACAAATGGCTGCCACGGCTGCCAGGAATCCCACCACCGTGGCCTGAACCTGCAGAGCGACACATCATTCATGAACACAGCAGGAACACGGCTGATCAGGCGGTCAGAGCTTATCTAGCTCCACACAGGGAAGCATCCACCTCTGCCTGCTGGGTGAAAGCAGGGGTTACCTGAATGAGAGCCAGGTTGCTGCACACCATGGTCCACTGTTTGTCAGGATCATCCATCTGGCCTGTGTTGGCCTACAACAGAGAAGCAACAGCCACAATATTACAGACTGGAGGTCGAACTATCTTAAAAGAGTTTGCAATGTTTTATAATGATTTTATTTTTTGTGACTAACCCAATGGAATATTCTAAAGTCATAATAATTCTTCAATGTCCTAATCCTATTTTATTTAAAACAAAAAGAAAAATAGCTGTAAACCAGTAAGTTGTTATAACTGCCTAAGAAGTCCTCTGCAATACAAATACAATGTTTAGGATTGCTTGGTTGATCGGTTTCCTATGCAAGTATCACCTAAAATTATTGAAACTGGGACCGACTGATCTGTGCTCCACCAGCTCCAACTGCTTACAATTTTTTCCCACTTTTACCACATAGTGAAAATGTTCATCTTACCTGCTGCAGCTAGCCCCCTTAGCACCTTATCAATAGTCCTGAACTTTTCTGCATGTAGTCATACTATTAGGGTTTTCATAATAATAAGAGAAACTTTTGGGCGGCATTAGTAAACTGTTTGAGAGGAGACCAATGGGAAACGCTGTTGTGGGGATTAAGGCTAAACACAGCGGTCGCCACAGCAAATTGCTGTTAATTTTTAAGATGAAATAAAACGCCAAACTTTTGATTGAATCAGGTACATTCTCAGAAGTCTTACAAAGAAATTTGATTTTAACTAGTAACAATTTAATAGTGTATTTAGTGTCTCAGTTGCACAGTGATACAGCGGGTAGCAGTGCTGTCTTGCAGCAAGAAGGTTCTGGGTTCATCTTTCTGCATGGAGTTTGCATGTTCTCCCTGTGCATGCGTAGGTTCTCTCCAGGTACTCTGGCTTCCTCCTACAGTCCAAAATCATGATTGTCAGGTTAATTGGCTTCTCTAAATTCTCCTTAGGTGTGAGTGTGAATGGTTGTTTGTCCTGTTTGTCTCCGAGTTGCCCTGGGAAAGACTGGCAACGTGTCCAGGGTAGAAACCATTTCTTGCTCGTAGACAGCTGGAGATGGAAACCAGCACCCCTTGCGACGTGACGGAAAATGGAGGGATGGATTTAGTGTCTCATTAGCAGCAAAACCGATGGATATTACAAGCTTATTACTAGGGAGGAAACAATCAGTTTAATCAATTAATGAAATAATCGTCAACTAATTTAGTAATCGGTTCATCATTTGTTATATAGACTGTAAACCTTGCCTTTAGCTGAGAGAGCAACCCACTTAGAACAGTAATTATATCAAAATAGTAAAAAGTATATAAACATTTTGCAATTTAGATTAAAAAAAAAAAATATTTGTCAATACGCTCTATCCAGAACTCCTGAAGTGGAAACGTTTTAGTTTCACCTTTTTTAATTTCGTAAAAAATCCTCTATAATGAACGTTTGCCTATCCGATTATTAATTGATTAATAGAAAAAATAATTGTCTGATTAATTGATTTGCAAAATAATTGTTAGTTGCAGCCCTAGTTATTACCCTGACATTTATTTTAAGGCCGACCATCAGCCTAATAATAACCAAAAGCCAAAAGCTATGGAAATGTTTTTTTTTTATATAGTATATAAAAATATTATTTAAAGGAATGGAAATGTTATTTAATACATTTCATACACCTTATTTACAGATAAAATCAGTGGAGGACCTCGAGTCAGCTTTTTGAAAATGTGTTATTTTGACAGGTACAGTTGGAGGGTATCTCTGCTCATTTTGCCCGTACCATCATCCCTAGAGAGCCGCTTCATCCTCTGTCACTGATGCAGACTCACATTGAGTCATGTGCCCTAGCATAAAGGTTAACCCATACGCTCTCACAAGCAGACAGAGGGCTGGTGGGGCCATATTGCACGATTGACCAAATTAATGAAATATTATATTACATACCATAAAGGTAGCACTAGCACCTAAAGTTGGTCTATTTGTGTGAAGTAATAAAGAGCTTTTTAAATATATCCTAAATATTAAACGTTGCTCTGCACTAAATACTGTCAAACAACTCCTCTGGGATTATTATACACGCAGCAAACTCATCTACATTCTCCATAACATGAAGATTTTGTTAGTAACTTCATTTTGTATAAAATGATCCCTGTACTTTTTCCTTAAAAATATCAACACTTTGACATAAAATACACAAAGGATGCTAGATACATTTTAATCTAGAAAATTTACAAAAAAATACCTTTGTTTGTTTTTATTATTTACTATTTGAAAAAATATTCATAACACTACAGTTTGAGAAGTAAATTATCATGAACCCCACATCTTAACCAGTCACTTTAATGTGCCTTACAGTTTCAGTCTCAGGAAATGGTTGAAGTATAAGGGACTGATGATTTGGATTCTATGTGCTTCATGTGCTCCGTGTGCGCCACTCTAGACACTGTGACAAATTTTATCATTTTCCTTGTACCTATCCTTATTGACAAAATGATTTATTTTCTTCAGAATTAAGTCTTTTTGCAAGCAACTCCCTGTGTAAATGAGGAGGAAGGATCAGGTCTAACTCAGGTGACAGAGAGGCAAACCTGATCAGCTTCTACTTCAGTCAGGCCACAGAGATTTTGATGGGCCTGGTATTTACTGTGTTTTATCTTGTTAATTACTGTTACAGTAGCTTTCAAGTTGAGTGTCACAGTTGTGTGTTGGACATGAATAAAGATACGGTACAAACCACCTCCTTTATTTGTATATTTAATATAACATTTAACTGCTACTGTAAATAAGGGATAATTCCATATTTTACGGGATGTTCTGCAACCCTGACTTACACAGATCACAGTTAGCAGCTTCCCATTAGCTGCTCTAAGCAGCAAATTCTATGCCTCACCCAGGCTTTGTGCCTTGATCTAAGAAGGTTCATATGTCTGTTAGAGGTCAAACAGCCTCTTCAAGACCAAGGAACACAGATAACTGGTTAGGGGAGAGTTTTAGAGAAGTTTAGAGCAGGAAAATGATATTAAAGAAAAAGTTCCAAGCTTTAAGTTTCCCACAGAGATTTGTTCAAACCATCATCTTAAAATGCAAAGACCATGAAGCAGCTGCAGGTATTCATAGCAATGAACACATGAGTAAGGCAGTGTACAAAGAGAATTGAACATGCATAAAACTGTGTATAAACAAAAAAACCTCCATTTACACAACATCTCTGCAAAGCACGATGGGAGAGGCATTATCCTGTGGGGTGGTTTTTCTTCAGCACTGAAGAGCAAGCTGGAGGTAATAAAAGCCAAATGCAGATAATCGCCAGAAGGGAACCTATTAGAGGCTGCAAAGAACTTAAGAATAGGGCAGCTTGCAGATATAAGGGAATTAAAATATTTTTCCAGAAAATATTGACTTATTTTTTTACTTAATCCTAATAATCCTAAAGCTTTCTTTAGCTAAACAGGAAAATGTGGAAAAGATGAAGGGAGAAAAAGACCTCTGTAAAGAACAGCATCCTGCTGAATCTGATCACACTGCGAAAACAGTCAAGAATTAAGAACAAATAAGTGTGTTTTACCTTTACTTTAAATAGGTAAATAACATATTTTGCCAATGGAATAAGTATTTTTATTCTTAAAATAAGATAATTAGATGATATGCACTTGAAATAAGACAATGGAATCATTTTTTCTTCTTTTAAATCTATAACGTAGTGTTTCATTGATGAAGTGTCTCACTTACCTCTCAAAGACAAGCAAATATTTCAAGAAAAAATGACTTATTTCGATTATTTTGTTTTTTTTGCAGTGCATCAGGTCGTATTAGGAGCAGTTTGAACAAAGCAGATTGGTTCTTACAGCAGTGGACAGCCGAGCAGCCAGGGTCATCTCCAGGTTTCCCTTGAGTCCGACAAGAGCAGGAACCAGGATGAAAACTTCGGTTATCACTTTAAACACTTCCCAATGCTGAAACACACATTCACATATGAAATCAGAAATCAAACAGAGAAAGTTAACAACATACAAGAAATCAGGATGAATGTATTTCTACTCTAAAGAGCCCATCAGAGTCATCTGAACCTCTTTAAATGGACCCTCTGACTGCTCCCTCTAACCAATGCAGTTAAATGACACATGTTCTGAAATAACCCATTAGTAATAATAATTGATTTTTATTGATCTCACATTGGAGAAATTTACCTCTGCTTTTAACCTATCTCATTGGGGAGCAGTGGGCTGCCATCGTGGGGCACCCGGGGAGCAAAGTGTGGGTTAAGGGTTTTTCTAAGAGAGCCAGAGTGGCAGTCTATGGGAGTGGGGCTCGAACTCAGAACCTCAAGATTCCGAGCTCTATGCCCTAACCACTAGATTACCACTACTCACACCACCTACGTTAAGAGGGTTTACTGATTATAATACAGCAGGTCCAAAAAATAAAGGGAACACTTTAATAGCACATCTTACTGTAGATCTGAATGAATGAAATATTCCCATAGAATACTTTGTTTTGTACCAAGTTGAATGTGCTGACAACAAAATCATACAAAAATCATCAATGGAAATCACATTTATTAACCAATGGAGGCCAGGATTTGGAGTCACAAACAAAAAGTAAAGTGGAAAACACACTACAGGCTGATGTTATGTCCTTTAAACAAGAATGAGGTTACGTATTATGTGTGGTCTCCATGTGCCTGTATGACCTCCCTACAATGCCTTGGCATGCTCCTGATGGAGTGGCCAACGGTATCCTGAGGGATCTCCTCCCAGATCTGACGGTGTTGGGATTTCAGCTAACTTTTTACATTCCACCATCTCAACACCAAGGTGGCAATGTACCACTACCTCCGTTTCTGTTAGAGTTGTAACCTATATTTTTTTAAACTTCCAACCGTGACTCAAGCTCTTGTCAGTTGAAAGTTGAGTCGAGTTGTTGAATATTGGAGTCCAGGCACCGATCCAATATCCTGTATATTAAAATAGGAATCTATTGACTGATTAGTTCTGGCACAGTTTTTCTGCTCCACTCTTAAAACGATTGCGCTCTGCTTCCACCTGTTGCTTTAGACGGCTGAGGAGCTGATCGCCTGACACCTGTCAGAAAAAGCTATCTGCTACAACTACTGTTTTTTTTCATACTGCCCTGCATTTTATTCACGCACAGCCTCAGTCATTTATTCACCTCATCCACTGTGTGTACCCCTGTTCAATACAATGACATTGATTTTTATAGGTTGAATTTAGCTCAGGAGTTTATTGTTTGTAAAATAGAACTTGATTTAAATCCCTTTTGTCTAGACAACATGCCGACACCGACATGTGGACATAGCGGCCAAATCTTCAGGACTTTTACAACCAGGGTATAGCTCCACTATAGCACATAGTACGGAAGGCTAAAGGGTTCGCCCATAAAAACTCCCTGACGCAATGTTTTTTTTTCCTCCTCTTACTCTGGGGAAATGCTGGGTGGCTGAAGCATTCTGCCAGCCAAACTCTGGTTTGCCAATATTCCCCCCCCCACAGGAAATCAGGAAAGTGGTTGTGCCAACCACAGCACTAATGGTTTTTACCTTCTCCTCCTGGGTCTGTGGGCCTGTTCACCCTACGGGAACTGGCCCCTAGAGAATAGTGTATGTACGAGGAGTGTCAGAATATTTTTAGGGTCTGCCTCTGTGTGCATCTCTGTTGAAAACGTGTATATGTCCTTATGGTTGTAAGTGTAGGATTGCTTAAATGTGACTGGATGGATGTGACTTTGTCTTTGTCTACTTGTCAGGTTGAGTGTTTGCCTCCCCTCCCCCCAACTTGAATAACCTAGGTCCCAAGCATGAGCAAGGCTGTCTCCTCTTCCTTCTTAAGGCCAATTTATACTTCTGATGCATAGCCTCTGCAACCGTCAAATCTGTCTCTGTGCGCAACCACGCCCCCTGCGCAGAGGCTCTGCATCCATTGTCGCACACCTAAAATAAATCCTGACTACATGTTGGATGGTCGCAAACCTGTGCAGACCTCAAACAAAAGTGCGCAGACAAAAATCAGCTGTGATTGGTCCATGATATGCCTTTCCAGCTGTCTGTGTGGTCGTCCTCGATTTGGGGCCGGGGTACGGCATTTTTAAAAACCGAGGAGTAATAACAACAATATATAACCATGACGAAAGGTTGATAGAGGAGGTTCGGAAGTACAACCACTTGTACGGTGCCTCAGATAGCGTTGTTTTTGAAAATAAACGCTCCCACCGGCGCCCCCGAAGAAGTTCTCATGACCATCCGTCGAAGTTCTCGCGAGTTCTCGAATAGGCTTCCCCTTGCGCTTTGGCGGGAAACTGAAATTCAGAAATTCCAGACCATTGCAGAAGCATACCAGCAAAACTGGTTCACGACCAGACGCAAGCGACATTTGAGGTGTGCAGTTGCAGAAGTATAATCCGCCCTTTAAGCTACCTACCAATGAGGGTTGCCTGTGTCTGCTGGCGCAGTGATAGTTCTATAGTTGCAGAGATGGGTACTTTGGTGGCTGCTGCCTCATTGCTGGGGAATGTCATGCCTAGGCCTCCTGGCCTTATGGTGTACCCACTAGACCAGGGGTCGGGAACCTATGGTTTGCGAGCCAGGTGTGGCTCTTTTGATGCTTGCATCTGGCTCGTAGATATAATATATTATATTTTGCATTAATCCGTCCATCGATTCCGACCTTTTGAATTGTTAGGAGCACAACAAACAGATACACAACAAAGCCAAAAAGTTGAAGCTGTACTTTTAGTATTCCACTTCGGTGTCTATTTATACACGTTCTGGTCACTTGTTTGACTGCTGGGTCTGTCAGCTGTCACACGAGGATACATCTTGGGACGTGGTCTAGTTCTGCTGATAGTGGCAGGCTGAGTTTTAATCTAGATCTCTTCAACTCAGACATTCCTGTGAAAAAAGCCCCGTCACAGCTAAAAAAGCACATCACTGGCTCACCATTTTTTCCCATCACTTTATTAGCTCTGCTATGATTGTGCAGTTGATGAGAAAAGATAAATATTTTAGGTCTTACCAGATATACACACAGCACATCTGAACAACTATATAATCTGTATAAGGAAATTGCATACTCATAAAAGATAGATTTGCCTTAAAGGCCAGTCTGGTGATAAAGTTTTATTAAGTACGGGGAAATTAAGAAATAATTTCAAGGTAATATTGTCAAATCATCATCATCATCATGGTGAGCATCTCACAGTATAATGGTTTTGAATTTCAGTGTGTGTGAAATAAAGCATTCCCATTTATCTGTACACTGTACCCCACCCATTGTCTTCCATGCCCATCTAAAAATATTGCATTCTATCAGTTAACTAAGCTTCTGTCTCTGAGGCGTTTTTCTCTCTCTCACACATACAGATCGGATTTAGGGGAGTGGATGCTACACAAGATAACATTTTTAAATCAAGAACAACAGCCATGCAGGGGACAAAACAGTTCATTTGCCCCTCAGGCGTTTGCAACTCATCGATTATTTTACTCACACTCTACGAGAAATGTACTTTACCTTGGTGTTTAAATGTACAAAAGACAGAGAGATATGTTGCAACACTAGATTGTGAAGCATATCATTCACATAAAAAAACACATAAAATATCAAAATGCAGTCCTTTGGCAAATAAAATAAAGGTGTGTAGGTCCTAAAATTCAGTTTTACAGCAAAAAGCTTGCAATAAAAGGACATGTTAGAAAGGCAGTTATTCAGATATCAGTGGATTTGTAGTTTCTAAGACACAAACTGGGACAGCCAATTTTTTCCCATAACTTAATAAATGTGGGAGATTTATATAACAGTCGAGGTGCACTATGCAAGGCTTATTCTTGAGAGAGTAGTTGTTAAACAAGTGTGTGAGTACTCACACCATAATGACCTAAAGAGTGTCAATCAGGTTTAGAGTTCATCAGAGCACCTAAAATACTCTGGTGAAAGTCACTAAATATATCCTCATTGCCTCAGATAATGGACTTGTATCTACTTCATTGTATCAGTGCTGCATTTGATACAGTTATACATAATATTATTTTAGAAAGACTTGAATATCTTGTAGGAATTAAAGGAATAACACTAGACTGTATTAATCTGACAGGTTTCAGTTTGTTCACATAAATGATAAATCTTCCTCATGCTCCAGGGTTACCTGTGGAGTACAACAGGGATCAGTCCTAGGGCCTATTCTCTTCAACATATGCTCCAAATGGGTAGAATTATTAGACAGCATGGGATTAATTTCCCCTGTATGCTGATGATACTCAGCTATATCTGTCTATAAATGAAGATGAAAATAACCTATTGCATAAACTACAGGCATGTCTTCAAAATATAAAAACCTGGAATAGTCAGAAGTTATAGTCTTTGGACCAGAGTCTTTAAAAAAGAAGCCGATTCGTCAGTCACGTCTTTTGGATGAGATTAGAATGATCTCAGAAAATAAAGCAAAAAACTTAGGTGTTATTTTTGCTCAGGACTTGTCATTTAAATCCCATATCACTTACTAGAATTTTGTTCTCTCATCTCCAAATGCAAAAATTAGAAACATCCTAGACTTTCGTAATTCTTACAGTCAGGCAGTCCATAAATTGTAGTTATAAGCCTTTGGATGATCCAAAATGCTGCAGCCAGAGTTTTGATGAAAATTCAAAAGAGAGATTATATCTCTCTTATCTAGTGCTGGGCGATAAATCAAATTAATTTGATTACTTAATGTTTTCAAATATCCACCATTTGAATTTTTGCCAATTCGTCTCTTTTTCTGAATTTTTTACTTTACTATTTTTTACTTTATGTTAGGGTAGCTCATTTTTTACTTTGCTTCTGCCGCCTTTTTTTTTTTCTTCCGCCCAATAGCATGCTGCACTGTTTACTCACGCCATGGCCCTGCTCAATCTGAGGAGTTGGTGCTGAAAAAAAGGGACTCGACGTTGATTATTTGGAAGTGG